CCGGTAATGCAGTCAACAAGCCTTAAACAATTAAGATCCATGTTGACCCTACAATGTTATGAAACCGAATTCAGAGAGGCAAACACCCTAAGTGGAAAAACCATGGGACCGACTCGAGGAAGCTTCTTTAATTAACACAATAAATACAATTAGCTGATAATGTACAGGCAACATAACTGCCTTTACATGCCATGGATGCAAGAAATTAGCACAAATGGAGCAAACGAGATTCATTGATGATACACAGTACTTGTCAAGAAGCAGTCATTGCTAGCGAGTGTGAAACTTATCTATTCAGGACCCAGTTTAAGTACTCCAGCATTTCTCTGATTGGACATGTATATTATGGTCAAAACAATACTATGGGCTACAAATTTATAATAGGCATCACTGAATCTTTTACCTCTTAGAAATTGACTCAGCAACCATCAGACAGCTACTTTCCCATTCACTCGTATTGAAGTACGAGATGAGTGAATTCAGGCAATCTCCCAAAATAAGCAGCAGCCCTTCAAGTCGACGGTCCAAAAAGAGGGAAATAACAATAACAAGGACATCTTGCGCTTCCGAAGGTGAGAAGATAGAATGCATTTTTCTGTAAATAAAAAATAGACCATTAAAACATAAAGGATGATATCACTATTTCAAATATTTGCTAACATCACAGTGTTTCAAAATTCTCCAAGGATTAAATGAACTATAACAAACGCCAGTTTAGAAGAAATAAATCACTGTTATACATTATGGAACAGTACACCTATACATGTTATCATGACTACAATAGTGACAATTGATAAATTCCCCTCAAGGCAGAGATTTTCATCATACTGGGAATTGGAAGTGTTGAAGTGATATGTGGATTGTCTAGCCCTTTCCATTAGTTCGGACTTTTGGTTGTGTTGGCCAGTGCATGAAGCTTAACATGGTATCGGAGCTAAGGTCTTGAGTTCAAATCCTGGCTTCCACAATTTATCTAAAAATTGCTGCTGCCCCCCTTTATGTCCACGTATAGGCCTCTTGAGCCATACCTCTGAGTCCACCCACGTTGTTGACTTTCCAAGCACACGTGAGAGGGGTGTTGAAGTGTATATGTGCATTATCTAGCCCTTTCCATTAGTTCAGACTTTTGGTTGCGTTGGCTAGTGCATGAAGCTTAACAGAAAAAAAATACAACACAGGCAAAAATAAAATAAATAGATACATTATCCTAGACATTCTGTTGCAAAACTATGCCGTGAAAATCTTGAATTTCATAGGCAAATGGAATGTTATAGTGAATAGCTTTACATAGGCAGTTTCATCTTAGGTTTTGTATAAGTGAATCACAAGCAAAAAACAGCTATACTCTGTGTATCAGACAATCCAGTTACCTAATTTTGCAGCAAGCAGATACAACTCTTAACCATGCAGTGATGTTTTGAGGTGGACCACCATCTGAAGTGTCTGGCCATGAATGAAAAAATAGTTAAGAAATGGAGATGGAATTTCCAGAATGTTCACCATCACAAGTATGAAATTAAAGACTCAAAAACATGTGTTGTGCATAAGTGATAACTGATTAAGAAAGGAAGAAAATTATGTATGGAACCAACCTGCAACCGCAATTTCAGAGGTGCAAGTTTTAGTGCAAGGAGCATCATGTAGGTATCCATAGTTGAGTATAGCACCCATAAGAATAGAGTAGCTTGGGAAGTATCCAAAGTTTACCAATGGTTTATCATCCTGTAATCAATCTGAAATTATGTACAGAAGCCAAAGGCAGAACACAAAAACACAAAAGAAAACTGATTATGCAGTTACCTCATTTAGGGAAAGGAGACTATCCCAAAATTCAGATGCAGAATCTTGCAACTTCTTATTGGATGAGTACAGCACTGGTGGCTAATGGTGGTAAGCATACAAGGCAATCTAAAAGAACAATTTTGAACTGAGCTAAGCATAGATCCTTACACTTGGTTAGCACCCATGATGCTATAGAGTCTTCAACAGAACCATATAGGAGTACCAACTTCAAAAGCCATCCATTGATCAGCATGCCTTCTAAAAAGCCCTCTCCTACATAAATAACATTAAGAAGTTGCTTACATTATCTGCAAGAGGAAAAACCAAAACCTGAAAGCAAACATAACTAGATACAAAAAAGAACAGTCATGGTGGCACAATGAGAAACAGAAGGGTTAAATCAAACACAAGCAAAGCAATAGTGTCCACACTTAGTCAAATAAGAGAATTAAGCGCGCATAACAAAACTAACCTCGTTCAATTTCTAGATCAAAACCTAACTGCTTATCTCCACAGAATGATTGCAAAAGTTGGCAATTTTCAACTCCCGTGCCATTAAGACCTGAGGGTGATTTCTGCAAGTACAGTTCATGAAGATACTTTAGTAGTAGAAACTAGAAAAATAAAAACAGAACCTAGCATTGAAGATAAACTGAACAAATTTAGGGCCATTTGACCTGACAGCCGAAAACTTGCTGGCCCCATTGGGGTACATCCTCTCCAGGATCCATCGCTTTCGCCTTCAAGTAAAGTAAGCTATATATTAAAAAAAAAACGGGTGCGATCTAGAAGGACATATGGTTTGTTTGACAATTACCTTCTCCTCACACTCCTCCACAAATTTGCAGAAGTCAATCTCCTTCCTGACCTGCTTGTCTTCATCATCTGAATTGTCTCCTTTGGGGCGACCCTTAGACTTAGCAGCAGAAGCTTTGAGCTCATCCTTACCGGAATTAAAGTAATCTTCTACGAGATCATCCAGCTCAATAACCTTCTTCCTGCAATGGACACTGACTTTGATCAATAATAGCTAAATTGCTAGAATGGCCGTATCATTGATAGGTTAAACCCGAATTGCATACCACAGGGCCAGATGACTCCGGTGGTAAAATTTCACCAAGCATTCTCCCAGATAAAGACACATTAAACTTAAACAAGCTTTTGCTCTGTCATTTACACCACAAAATAGTTGGGCACTGGATTTGTTCACAATACGTCCAATTTGCCTTTTATCAAGCTTATTAGTTCATCATTTCTTCCCCGTGACTAGAGATTTTCCTCTGATTTTACAGGTTGCTGCCTCTAATGCGAGTGCTACTAAAAAGCAGTGTGACCGGTCGATCATCCGATACTGATTTATTTGTTCACAAGACATCTGATTTTCATTTTCTCAAGCTTAGTCCATCGTTTGCTTCTACTGGTGATTTTAGGGTTTAACAATTTTATTAGAGGCTGATGCTATCAAATTAGAATTTCCATGTAATGTGAGTGCTACTGAAAAGCGGCGTGACCAGTCGATCATCTGGTACTGATTTATTTGTACACAAGACATCTGATTTTCATTTTCTCAAGCTTAGTCCATCGTTTCCTTTTCTGTGGCTAGAGATTTTCCCACCACTACTAGTTGCTTCGATGATCCAGGCTGCTGCCTCTGATGCTACTGCTACTGGTGCCACCCTCCTAACACCGCGACAGATGGGTCAATCAACACCAACATACTCAATCATGGAAATTCTCATTTGATAGCATCAGCCTCTAATAAAAGTGTTAAACCCTAAAATCACCCAGTAGAAGGAAACGCCCGCGGCAACAAGATAATCCACGCCCCTAGTGCTGAAAACCTCAGCAAGTGCGCCATGTTCATACGAAATCAAATCTAATCGAACCACGCCATCCACGCCGCCGAAACCTACCGGCGGAAATTGAAAACGAGACCGGAATGGATTCGAAGGGGGGAGGAAAGTACCTCTTGGCGGGGCGGCGGACGGTGAGGAGGGGGTCGTTATCCCCCTCGAAGTCGAGGGGATCGTCAATCTTCATCCCACCGGGACCAGGGCGAGCAGCGGCCTCTCTCCCTCGCACGCTCGTGTCTCCCGCGGGATGGATTTGGGGGAGATGGGTCTGCGTTGCCGCCCTCCCAAACCTTCTTTGTCTGCGAACGAGGTGCCGTCCGTGGCTGCTCCCTCTCTCTCTCCGCTTTGTCTGCGAAGCTGCAACAGACCAGCATGGGCACCTGCAACGGAGGCCCAGCCCACGGCCCAGCTAGACTGCGACCTGATGAGTAGGTCCTCCTCTGTTTCTGAGATTCAGATAAAAAAGGGAGATTTGATGATAACCCCCCCAGTTCATGTCACTTTGATCATAACCCCCCCTTTGTGTCACTGACATGTGGGACCAGACCCCACATGTCAGTGACACAAAGGGGGGGTTATGATCAAAGTGACATGAACTGGGGGGGTTATCATCAATTATTCCGATAAAAAAGACTGCTGCAAGTTCAGATAGTAGGTCCTCCCGACATCGCCGACCACCGCCGCCGGCCTCCCCGCTTTCTTCGGCTGCCAGCGTGAAGGCGCGCGCCTCGCCCGTCGCGGCTCCTCTCCGGTGGTTGCCAGCGTTCCCCGCCCTCCCGCAGCAGCTATAGAGTTCCTGCCCCAGCCTCCTCTCTCTCTGAATCGATCCAAGACCACCGGTCAGTGACCGGCACGGACACCGACTCCAGACTCCAGATTCGAAGCGCTCTAGACCGGCCGCCGGCCGCCGGCCTCCACTGCCCCGGCAAGGTTGACACGGTTAGGTACGTCTGCATGCCAAGTTGCAATGCCCTGTTCTTTTTTCATGCGTCCGCACGACAACTGTAATGTATAACCAATAACGGAGCAACGGAAATTCAATGCTCAGCGTTCAAACAGAAAGAGCAAAAGCATGGCAATGTCCTATTGCTGATTCCTAGCGTCAATTCGCCGATGTCCCCGTGTTTACTCTTAACTTCCTGTATGTATCGGTAGGGTGGGTGTTTGACAGGAGTAATATCAACTTTACTAGTACAATCCCACTTTCACAATGTCACCAGGGCACTTAGCTAGTTTATGATAGCAAGTGTACAAAAACTGGCAACCCAATGCAGATTTCACTCAAGTTCAAAAATCTATACCGCCACTTTACTATGATTTTCTGTAGGTGCAGCTCCAAGAACACGTTTCTTGTAGCGTCAGGTGATGGCAAACAGCGAGTATGAGTATGTGAAGAGGGAGTTCGAGTTCGACCGCCGCCTCCCGGCCTCCAACTGGATCGTTGTCCGCATCGATGGCTGCCATTTCCACCGGTATAATTCATCTCTTCCCCCTAAAAGGGTAATAGGAAACCAGTTTATATGTACGTTTCTTAATTTTATTCCACAACCCTGTTAACTGATTGCTGCTTTCTATAATAGACTGGTTGCTCTCATTTTACTTTGCTCACTTCCTAGCTGTACACTGATATGGTCACTAGGTTAAGCAACTGCATCGACCATCTTGTCATCTTAATTCTTGCTCTAGTTCATGCACCGATATCTTTTGCTTGAGTTTTTTGTGATGATAAACATATGGGAAACATGCATATGGGGATCACTCTTGCTCCAGATTAGAAATATTTATCTTTGTTGTTTTTTCCAGTTGTCCACTAATTTCAGTTTTCTTTTTGTTAGATTCTCGAAGATACATGCCTTTGAGAAACCAAATGATGAGAATGCTTTAAGATTGATGAATGCTTGTGCCACCTCTATGCTTGAGAAGTTCCCTGATATAGTGTTTGCTTATGGTGTTAGCGATGAGTACAGGTATAACATTTTTTGAAGTTAGACTTACAAAATTGTATGAAATTTATATGCAAATACCATTGTGAATGCAGACTCTTTTTTTAATTGTGCAGGTCCCGTTCTTCCTATTTGAAAGAGTTCTGTTCATTCTTTGGATAATAATCTATGTGTGTTATCTTTCTGTTTGCTTTGCAGTTTTGTTTTCAGAGAGGAAACAGAATTCTATCAAAGGCGAGAAAGGTACCTACCTTATTTGATCTGTTCATTCCTTCACTATTAGGATACTGCCATGCCCAGAACGGTTTGAACTATTCTATTATAAAATCTCATCATGTTATTGACTCTCTACCAATACGTGCAGCAAAATTCTGTCTTTATGTGTTTCTTACTTCACATCTTTGTACGGGATGAAGTGGAAAGATTTCTTTCCTAATAAAGATTTGAGGGAGCCTCCCTATTTTGATGGGCGAGTTGTATGCTATCCAAATATGAAAACCATTCATGATTATTTGGCATGGAGGCAAGTGGACTGTAAGCTTCTTAAACTACAGTCGACATTTTTCCAGTACAAATAATCATATTCTTATGTTGTGCAATTATGTGTGTTGATGTTCTCTACAATAAAATCATGTTTCCACTCAAAAACAATAAAATCATGTCATGTATGTTATTAACCAAAAGTTCTCGAAACTACGAAGCTTCAGCAACATTAACTAAACATAGGAATATGGTGTATGTATGTGTCACTTCAGTGAGATTTCTATGTCCGGTTTTGCTTCGCTACTTAAGTGCTCCCATTTAAATGCACATGCAAGCCATCCACATGATTTAGCAACCCTTTCACTTTCTTCCACTTCCCAGTTCCCACCACATGCAAGCCCTCATGAAGCACATACAAGCCCTCCGCGTCATCAATTTTTATTTTTTACTTTTTTTCAGCAACAAATAATTGAACTTGAATGCCACAAGTCAATATAGGCAATATAACATGCATCCACCCTCTATTTACCTCTAGGTTTGCTACCATTCATATGGCAAAAATCTCATATATTCTAATTACATTCTATAAATTTCCGCAGCAACGCGTGGGGTGTTATCTAGTTTTAATTAATGGGTGAAGATTAACATATTTAATGTTATGCGTGCCTTTCAGGTCATATAAATAATCATTATAATACATGCTTCTGGATGTTGGTGAAGTCTGGAAAAACTGAAAAAGAGGCACAACAAACATTGAAGGTCATCTAAATTATCTAGGGTTAGAGGTGTCTTTTTGTAGCATTTGTATAAATCGTCTCTTTAACCGTCTATTTTCTTGTAGGGAACATTTTCTAAGGACAAGAATGAGTTGCTTTCTCAACAGTTCCAAGTCAACTATGAGGATGAACCGGCTATGTTCCGGAAAGGATCAAGTGTTTATCGAGATAAGGTAACACTGTCAGGCATTCAAAAGTTCATTATTATTGATGTTCGTGCTCATTCTCAGTGAAGTACTTACATCGCACAAAACATTATTTGCATGATACATCAAATGGCGATGATAGCTTCTAGTCATATTTTGCGCCAGAGATATTCATGCATTTCTGATTTCTCTTCTGGTTTTATTTTGCATATAAACATTTTGCTGTACGTTAGTTTGCTTGGATAATTGAAGCACCTTAGTTGCCATTTAATGCCATTTCCTTGTCTGATATTGATCAAAGGTTATGATGACCAATCAAGTGTGCAGACCGTATACTGCATTTCTTTTGTGGGTCTGATTGTTGACTAATGTTAGGGTTCTACATGTTTCTGTAGGTAGAAACAAAGGTGAAAACAGATGACTACGGGAATCCCATAAAAAGAATCCGGCTGGCAATTACAGTGTCAAATTTAGATATCATAGGACCTGAGTTTTGGGAAAAACATCAATACATTCTTCAAGAAGGTTAGTTGAATCATTCTAGTTATAGGTATGCTTCCAGTCCAGCTCCTGCCAACTTTTGTTTTAGCTGGACTGGAAGTTTACCTAAAGCTCCTGTCAACTTTGGATATATACATCATTAGTCTAATTGTGTGTCGGGGAAAAAGGGAAATATAGATACGAGTATGTGAAGAAGTTCGACGACATCCACAGGCTTCCATGTTGTAATTGGATCGTTGTTCGTATCAGCGCCTGCCAATTTGACCAGTGAGGACCCTACTTTCATATTTAAATACATGCGGCAATACATCTAGATACTTATGTTGTCTTACTTACAAGGAGAATTCAATTTCTTTTCCCTAGATTCTCGCTGATCCATTCATTTGACAAGCCAAATGATGAGACTGCTTTAAGTTTGATGAACGCTTCTGCTTCTTTGATGATGGAGCAATTCCCTGGTATTATCTTTGGTTATGGTTTTAGCAACGAGTACAGGTATGATATGCCCGTGCAACATATCTGTTTTTGTATGGAGAGAACTTTGAAAAATACAAAGAAAACAAGGATATATTTTTCCACATAGCACAATTTTTCCTCCTCCTATCAGCAGAAGTGAATTGAATTGAATACATTGGCAATATAAGTATCATGTTAAAACTGTAAGCAAAGTGAACCATCCAACAAAAGCTTAGATATGATGCATTCAATTTAGACAGGTGTTTTTTGGTTTGTTTGATGGCAAACCTGAAAATTTGTTGCAAATGATCATTTTAATTAATTTATTTATTTATTGTTGCAGCTTTGTGTTCCAGGAGAACACTGAATTGTACCAGAGAAATGAGAGGTAGTTATTAGTTTCAGAATTCCTGTAGTGTGCTTTTCAACTGGTCAAGTCTTCGATAAATTATGCAACTTCTTTTGCAGATTAATCCTTTCTTCATGTTCATCATGCTTCACTTCCTTTTACATGATGAAGTGGAAAGAATATTTCCCCAGTAAAGAATTAGTGCAGCCACCTAAGTTTGAAGCAGAAGTTCTCTGTTACCCAAAACCAAAGATCGTTTGTGATTATTTGTCCTGGAGGCAAGCAGAATGTGAGTTATTCCTCCTAACATAGCATATCTTTAACTAACTGAAAATGTCAATGAACTTGTCAATGACAGTTCAGCATGAAATATGTGAATTTATATGTTGTCTGCAGCAGTATGAATGCATTAAATTTGGTGCTTGTATAGCTCTATGCTGTGATGAATACTTATCAGTGTCCAAGTATCTTTTTCTTCAACGATATTCTGTTGCAGGGGGTTGACTCTTCTAGTAGTTAGAACGAACCATAAGAAGAAAATGAGCTGACTTGTTCTACACGCTAATTTGCAGGTCACAACAGGAACCAATACAATACATGCTTTTGGATGTTAGTGAAATCTGGAGAAGAGGAAAACAAAGCTAATGAGATACTAAAGGTCTTCTTTCATCATTTAAATATTTTTTCAATTATCCTAATTAATTCTTTAGTTATCTTTTGTCCCTAACTCTTTAATATTCTCTGAAGGGAACATTATCAAAGGATAAGAACGAGTTGCTTTTTCAGCGATTTCAAATGAACTACAACAATGAACCCGCTATGTTCCGAAAGGGTTCATGTACTTATCGTCAAAAGGTATCTTGTGCATCATTCATGAATAATTTTCACCAATAATGTTGTTTGTGCTGCAATTGTTATGAGGCAAACCAAAATGACAGTATAGTGATGCTTAAGAAGCAAGACTGACATCACATAAAGGATCAAAGTAATTTTTCGGTAACTATAACTGAAGAAATGTTCTGGCATTTCGGCCCTTATCCGCAGTTTGTTAAAAAAACAAGGCCATGTTGCCTGAAAAAGAACTGCATCTGAGATATGCATGGATACATTTTCCAACTGATACTGATCATGAGCAACTTCTTAAACCATTGCATCTGCATGAATAAAGTAATAGTAAAGCAATACTGTCCAACAGGCTAAAAATCACCCAAATTTATAAAGCATGCATGTCTTACTCTTAAGTGATTAGGTGGAAGTGCTGCCATCATATGAGGAGAATTTTTTTCCTTCTTTTTTTGGCGTGCTTTGGAGCAGAAGATGATTCTCAGATCACATCCGAGTTCCTTTCTTTGCTAACGGCTCGCTGCAAATGGCTGCAGGTGAAAGTGAGCGGAGACGTCGTGAGAGATGGGTGGGATGTGGCAGTGACCCACGTTGACATGAGGCCTGACTTCTGGAGAAAGCATATGTCTATTTTCGACAAATGATGATATGGATGTACTTATTCTAGGCCGATTTGTAGCTCTCATCATCCTCTGGAATTTTATCTAGAAACATCACGGTTTTGTAGATTGTGGTCTGAGGAATCAACGGGGGGAGAGAGTCCCCACCTTATCTACCGGTTTTATAAGCACTGTACTAGGTACCCTGAACACCTACATAACTAACTGTTTTATACTTACTCAAGCTTGACCCAAATGGTCAAAGGACTTGGCAGCAACCTTATCTACCGGTGCCCTGAAACGGTTACACCATAACTCGAAATCGGAACAAATGTTTGTAATTGTTAGCCGGCTGTCATGGTCTTCATTCCTAAATACGGCAGCATTTCTGGAGCCCCAGAGGACTTCTGGTCAGAAGCAGGGGTCTAGCCCAGGAGGAGCATCAGCTAGCCCGAGGTCTTGCAATCTTGGCGTCGTGGTGAGACCTAGCTGCAGCCACACATTTGAAGCTTTTGGCAGGTGATGAAGAGATGCGGCGTGTCTTCAGTTGGGCAAGAACATCGTGGACAGTTAGCATCAGTGCTGATTCAAGTGGAAGTATCCACGTACATACGTGTATGTCATACTATGTATACAGCATAGCGAGCGACTTGTTTGATCCCGAAAACCAAACATGGACCGTCTTTCTTTAGCCAAAACTTGTCAGCCCAGGAATGATAAGCGGCCATCGGTGGGTTGCAATGGTTGGCTAACCGAACAGCACGTAAATGGTCCTTGGCGTTCACCGAATTGCTTGGCCAGAACACACTTATATTCTGCAGGTTTCCTCCCAGCCCCAGTCAATGCCTGGAGCAACTAGTTAACGAGCGCTCCTTCGGGAGCCTCGCAACGATCAGCGCCACTTGGCGCGCTCTCAGCCATTCGCCACGTGTCGCGCTCTGGACGCTCCCTTTGAATTTTGTTTTTTTTTTATTTTTCCGCACGCGTTTTCGGCTTTTTAAACGGTTTTTTTCGGATTTTTTCGACGTTTTGGTTTTTCCCCGGTCTTTCTTAGCTTTTCGATCAAAAAAAATTCGAATTTTTTTCGAGAAAAAACGTGTTTTCTTTTTCTTTCTTTCGTGAAAGTCACGGTTTTTCTTCCATGAGAGGCACGGTTGTGTTTTAACGAGAGTCATGACCGTGCCTCCCGGAAACAAAAAAAACGCGTTTTCTGTTTTTTTCTTTCGCGAGAGTCACGGTTTTGCTTTCGCGAGAGTCACGGCCGTGCCTCTCCAAAAGGGAAAAACAAAACGCATTTTCTGTTTTTTTTTTCGTTCGTGAGAGTCATGGTTTTGCTTCCGCGAGAGGCACGGTTGTGCTTACGCGAAAGTTACGGCCGTGCCTCTCGGAAAGGGAAAAAAATACGCGTTTTTTGTTTTTTTTTCTTTCGCGAGAGTCATGGTTTTGCTTTCGCGAGAGGCACGGTTGTGCTTTCGCGAGAGTCACGGCCGTGCCTTTCGGAAACGGAAAAAAAACGCGTTTTTTGTTTTTTTTCCTTACACGAGATTCACGGTTTTGCTTCCACGAGAGGCACGGTTGTGATTTTGCGAGAGGCACGGGCGTGCCTCTTTCGGAAAGGAAAAAAAGCCGTGCTCCCGGTTCGGTTTTTTCGTCTGTTTTTTTCGTGAAAAAAAAAGTTCGTCAAAACCTATCAACATGGGATCTAGTTTTGAAGATCTCGACGTGAGGAATCCAATGGTGAAAACAGTTCAAGATTTAAACGCACGGTTTAAGAGATAAAACGTTTTGAATAAATGGATCTACGAAAGAAGGGAAAACTCCCGGGTTACGACAAGTGGCGCGCTGCATTGCGCCACTTGTCGCGACCTAAGAAAGTGAAGTGTTCTTTGCAACGAGTACTCCTTAATTAGTAATTTCGGGCAATGCCTCTCAACTCAATGCAAGACCCCAAGAGAATCTAGTGGCAGACCGCACCAAATGGCCAACAATTTTAAGCAAAGCCAACCGTAGGACGGACAGATGGATGGGACGTGGAGTTTCTATACCTGAGCTCATATGCTCCTGCCATGAACAGTAAAATAAATAAAATAGAAAAATATTTCAAAAAATTCTGAAAAAAAATTGTGGCATACTTTACGAAATGTTTGTTGTGCGTGCAAAATTTCATCACTAAATGACATTGGTGGAAGGCATGGTAAAAAAACAAAATCGATACTCTGTAAATGTTACTTTCAAACGCATTTTGGAGCTTTTTTTTTGTTTTTTTTGCCACGACTTTCATGAATGCGACTTCGTGATGAAATTTTGCATGCAGCACAAATATTTCTTAAAGTATGCCATAAATCTTTTTTGAATTTTTTTGAAATGCTTTTACATTTATTTAGTTTATTGTTCATCCCAGGAGCATATGAGCTCAGGTGTAGAAAGGTACTTTCGGGATGGATGGATAATCAGTGCCACTAGAAAGCCACACGTACCAGCCTAACAGTAGCTCCCTCTGTTTTGTTTCCAAGACAGACTGGTAGAGACTCTGACATGTAAACACAATGCATGTCGGCGTTGTTACAGGGTACTCCCTCCGTAAAAAAAATATAAAAGCGTTTAGAGCGCCGACCCAAACGGACGGCGACGGACGAAATGGATGGCCCCATTAGAGTTGCTCTAAACGCTTTTATATTTCGTCCGTGGGTGACTCATTCCTGATCCATTTTTGAGCCGGATTTGCGTTGGCGTGGACGCGCGCACGCTCGCCTTCTCCTCCGGACCCGCTGGTCGGTGACACATTGGCCTCCCTCCATTCAACAGCAACCCTCGCCCGCCTCCTTCATCGCCGACGCCGCCGCCCATTTTTGCCGGCGACTCTGCCAGCTGTCGGTGCCTCCAAATTCGTCCAGCAACGCCGCCCACTCCCACGTCGCCCGCCACCGCCGTCTTGCCGCCGGGGAGCCGACTGCTTCCCACCCCCGCGCCCCCACCACACAGCCGCCCCCGACCAAGAAGTCGACTCGCCGCCCCTGCCAGATCCTCACCGGCACGCTCGTCGGACGCCTGCCCACTCATAGGACGCCGGTAGGGCAGCTAGCTGGTCCGTGCGCGCCGCGACTCCCTTCGTCGGTCGTCTCCTTCGTCGACGCCCGCAAGTTGTTCGACAGTTTGCCAAGGTACAAAATGGACTCCGCCGATGAGTTATTTTTTCACAATTTCCTTTGCGACTTCGACAATTTGCCATCCGACGACGAGGGGGAGATATTGGCTGCCGTGTTGGTCCATCACCACCTCAATAGCCAGCGGCCGTTGTTCCGTGGCTCCATTCCGGGCCACCTTCGGCGTTGAATCGCAACCGAGAGAGCGGGCATTTCCTTCTTTGGAAGGACTACTTTGATACAACAAACCCGTTGTTCAAATATAAAAAAATCCGCCACCATTTCCGTATGAGTAGGCATCTTTTCAACCGTATTAGAGAGGGGATGGTCGGCTATGATGACTATTTCGAGTGCAAAAAGGATGCCGTTGGCAAGATTGGTTTCTCCTCTTATCAGAAATGCACTGCCGCCATCCGAATGCTTGCATACGGAGTGCCCGGTGATCTCATTGACGAGTACGTCCATATGAGCGAGTCTACATGCCTAGAGTCCCTATATAGTTCTGCAAGACTGTTATTGCTGTGTTTGGCCCTGAGTACTTGAGAGAGCCGACTGCTGAAGATACAACCCGTTTGTTGGCGATGAATGCCAACAGGGGCTTCCCAGGGATGCTTGGCAGCATAGACTACATGTGGGAGTGGAAGAACTGCCCTTCTGCTTGGCAAGGGCGGTATAAGGGCCATGTCAGGGCTTGCACTGTCATACTATAGGTTGTGACGCATCAAGATCTCTGGATCTGACACTCTTTCTTTGGCATGGCCGGATCACACAATGATATCAACGTGTTTCAGCGCTCGCCGGTGTTTGCTAGGCTTGCCGAAGGCAACAGCCCATCGGTGAACTTTACTGTCAACGGCTACAACTACGACAAAGGATACTACCTGGGTGACGGTATCTATTCTCAGTGAGCCACTATTGTCAAGACAATAGCCAACCCTGTTGGAGAGAAGAAGAAAAGATTTTTCCCAAGAGCAAGAGAGTGCTAGGAAGGATGTCGAGTGTGCTTTTGGTGTTTTGCAATCTCGATGGGGCATCGTTCGGTATCCTGCTAATACCTGGAGCACACAGAAACTATGGGAGGTGATGACTGCTTGTGTGATCATGCACAATATGATCATAGAAGACGAGCACCCGGAACGTCTGTACAATCAAGGGTTTCAGTTTCAGGATGAGAATGTTGTGCCTGAGCATGAAGGAGCGGCAACATTTGAACAATTCACCCAATTTCATCATGACATGCGTGATTGGGAAACTCACGTGAAACTACAAAATGATTTGGTTGAGCATATGTGGGCTCATGTTGGCAACCAATAGATGTATCTTCTTTTATTCGTTTGCAAAACTATGTGAGACATTTTGATGCGGAGCATCCCAAGTCCATCCCCGGACCCAACTACATCTCCTTCGACACCTCTTGGACCCATGACACGAGAACGTGCAAGAGCTCTTGAAACCAAGGTGACATCTCTCCTCTCACATTTCCACTTTGATACACATGAGACATGGCTACTACCTCATACAGATACTTTGTGCATGCTTAGGTACCATGGAGAAGCTAAGGAGCAAGGAGAAGAAGAAGAGGAAGATGGATGTGAAGACGGAGAAGAAGAAGTGATGAAGAGGAAGCTACAGGCTCCGGACGACCGGCCTGGATCGAACGTCCGACGACCTCCAGGCTCTGGACGTCTGGCCCTCTCCGGACGACCGACGCCCCTCGGACGACCGACCCTGAGGCAAATCTACGGATTTTCGGAGCCCCTCGGAGGACCGACGACGCCCGGACGCCCGACTCCGACCGGACGTCCGACCGAAGCACACCCGAGCCGAAATTACGGACGTCCGACAGGCACCGGAAGTCCGGAACCTCGCGAGCCTCCGGACGACCGGTGACCCCCGGACGTC